TAGCATTCCAATTTTAACGGATATCCAGCAATGGTCTTTCAGACTCTTTCTTTCTTTCTTTCTTTTGGAGGGGGGGTTCCTTGGAATCCTCGGGTATCTTAACTTGGTTTCCATCTGAACCCATGAGTCCCTTTCCCAGCCTTTTTTTTTTTGGTTTTTGTTCTGTTTTTCATCATGGCAACGCGGCAGGCTGGCGGCTGACCCGCTGCATTGGCAGGGGCTCGGCCTACCTGACCAAACAAAATGGCTAGTCCCCCCTCTTGGCCCCCCCTTTAGGACTTCCCTCTATGTGGGCTGTTTCTTGCTGTGTGTGTATGTTGAGGCCCCCTCTAGGACCCCCCCTCTTTGACCCCCCCCTCTAGGACCCCCCCTCTGGGACCCCCCCTCTAGAACAAGCCTGTTATTGCAAGTATGGTTGGCAACATTGTCCATGCAAACCAACCGTGTGTATAGCCTTAAGAGCACCACCTCCCTCTCTCAAAAAAGGCGTGTCTTGCTGTGTGTGTATGTTGAGGCCGATGGGCTGTGCAACATGAGCACGAAGCGCAGGGAATTGCTGTGTGTGTGTGTTTGGGATGCAATGAAACCTCGAGGCTATACATTCCAAACATACACACACAGCAATTCCCTGCGCTTCGGGCGATGGGCTGTCTAACACGAGCAGGAAGGGCATGTATGCAATTGGTGTGCATTTGACAATTTCAACGACGACTGCGTTGCGTAACACGAATTTCAATGTTGATGTTTTGAGTCGTAATCATCTGCGTCAACCAAGTGGACGGCCAGGTAAGCGACGACACATGCAGCAAAATCGAAGCAGGCGGGAGTGAAGTGAAGGGCTGGCTGGGTAGGTCGAAGCAAAACACCGAAGCAACAAGGCAAGCAACAGGCAGGCATGCAGTCATGCAGTCCCTCGACAGGAAGGCATGCAGTGCCTTGACAGGAAGCACGGCAGAAAAGGGCAAGCAGAGGGGGCGAATTCGGCAAGAGAGACAAAAGTGGGGAGGCAAGCATCAAGGCCAAGCGGCAGGGAAGCAATTCAAGACAAGACAAGAGAGGGCATGCAGTCCCAGTCCCTCGACAGGTGCAAGCAGAGGGACTGTATGCCTTCCTGTCCAGGGAGGCGCAAAAGCGCAAGCCGAGGGACTGCTTGCCTTCCTGTGGAGGGAGGCGCAAAAGCGCAAGCAGAGGGACTGCATGCCTTTCTGTCGAGGGGGGCGCAAAAGAGCAAGCAGAGGGACTGCATGCCTTCTTGTCGAGGGAGGCGCAAAAGCGCAAGCAGAGGGACTGCATGCCTTCCTGTCAAGACAAGGCAAGGCATGCAGTCCCTCGGCAGGAAGCAAGGCGCGAAAGGGCATGGAGAGGGGGCGGATAGGGCAAGAGAGACAAAGTGGGGAGGCAAGCATCGAAGCCAAGCCTCAGGGCAGCAATTCAAGACAAAGGGAAGTGGACAGGGTGCCAAGTAACAGCGCAGCACCAAGAAGGCAGTCCGACCTGACAACACTGACCAAAGCGGACTATCAATTTTTACCTCAAGTAGAACGTTGCATACTGTGGTGTTCACACCACCATGAAGTGGCAGGGAGGCGGTTTGCCGGGCAATATCTAAGTCTATACTATAGACACAGTCTGTAGAGGTCTACAACGGGCATTGTGGACCACAGCAGCACTTGTATTGCTATAGGCATGGTGACGATAGCAGTGCCCTAAATAGTGATACACGCACATGTAATAATCGGCAGCAGACTATTTGGCACATGTGTAAGGTGCTATTCACACTTGGACACCAAGGAGAGCACACAGAGAGAAACACAACCAGCGTATGGTGGAGCACATCGAGAACATTTTCACAAGGAACAAGAAAAGCACCTGATTATGCTTGTGTGTGTGTGTGTGTGTGTGTGTGTGTGTGTGTGTGTGTGTGTGTGTGTGTGTGCACG